TCTTGAGTCTCGCGCATGACGCACTACATAGTCTCATTCTCCACAATGATTGTCGACCGAAAGGAAGAACCATGAATGTAAATGGCCGCGGGAAAAGGTGAAGCGTCGTTCGTCCTGAAAGGGTAGCCACATTCTGCTCTAGATTTGCTATCCTTCTGACTGAAAATACGGTACGCGAGCAAGCCAAGTCCAATTATGCCCGATGAAAGAAACCCTACGTTGAGGGAGAGCGTGAGTGTCAAGACACAGGGTTGAGGAGGAATGGGTTGGATATAAGCGTACTTGGTAGAAAATGATGTGTTTGTGATGAATCGGCCGTCTCAATGGGTGCAGCATTTAGTACCCCAGGGTTACCAGCTTTCGACTGGAATATAGTTTCCAGACCTCCCAATCATCAATCATAAACACTTCTCTTGCACCAGTATCAAAAGACTGCATAGTACTAGTAGTGTTCAATCGGCCTGCCCAAACGTCCATATCCACGGCTCGCTTGTCCCACGACCTTTAAGTAGCCTTTTCTCAACCCTATTGTCCGATCAGGTTCGCAGGATTCTTTGCTTGGCCTATGGTTCGGGTCGGCAATCCTCCGGTTCGAAGGTTGGACGAGCGTATCAACGAGCAGGGCAAAGGTGCTGAAGTCACTCCATACTGTACCTATCCGGTACGAGGGCATCAAATCTATTACGCACTGCAAGCAACCACAGTCTCGCTGGTACCGGCCTGTAAGGAGCGAGCGTTTTGAAGACAATCTTGACACTTTTGCACGCGGCATTACCAAGGAATTTTCCTCGATGGTTTTCCAACTTCCATCAGCAAAGCTCCATCTCCTTTTTCCCAGTTATTATTCACGGCAGTGACGGGAAGAAGCTTCCCGGAAGCCGTCAAAGTATGCTCAGTCGCGCCTGAGAGCTGTCAAACACGAGCTTCGTAAAAGGAAGTTACAGGAAGTACAGGGACTACAGGGACTACAGGGACTACAGGGACTACAGGGGACTACATGCAGAGCAAGTACCACTTCATTGCTTAACAGGTAACCCTTTACCTTTTCTGTCGCGTGCGCTTCTGGACGTACATAATGTACAAGGTTCAAGCCGCAGGGCTAAGAAAGAAACTTGGACCCAAGCCATGTCCAAGTTCTGCTCAGTCAAGTTCAACCTAAACATCTGACTTGTGGCTAGAGGCAAACAGCGAATCGTTTGACGCCGGACACCCCTAGAAGAAACGGTCCCCCGTCCCCGGGAAAAAAAAGACAGAGCTTTGAGTGAACTACCCATTCTTCCCTTCCCACCCCCCTTCCAATCCTACCGTATACATAACCAGCAATCGGCCGTCTCCCGTTTACCCTTCTTAAGATCGATTGGCATATCTTCCAACTCCCCTTCCCTTCTTAGGACATCTAAAAGACCCAAACCAAACATTCGCCCTCTTCAAACATTCAATTCTTTTCACTAATTAACTACTGAACCTGCCCGTCTCCCCGCATTCATCTGCCAAGCCTAGTGCATCATCATCATCATCTTCAATCCCTGTCCATCATACCCTACTCCTACTTGATTTCGCCCAACATTCCTGTTGCTATCCGCCAACATGGTGGACAAGGCAACCACCAAGCAGAGCCCCACGGTCAAAGGTGGAGCCTCTGCTGCGGACATGGCCGCTCGCCCCTTTCAGTGCGAATGGCATGAAGGTTGCCCCAAAGTAAGCAATCCTGCGCCCCGAAAGTTACACCTCGGGAGTGCTCGTCGACGTCCCAACCCACAATCAGAGGCTGATCGCAATCGCATTTCACAGAGTTTCAATCGCAAATCCGATCTCCAACGCCATTACCGAATACATACCAATGAACGCCCCTACGCTTGCGACTACAAGCCTTGCAGCAAGACATTCATTCAGCGCAGCGCCTTGACCGTCCACCGCCGTACCCATACTGGTGATAAACCCCATAAGTGCCCATTCACGGGTTGTGGAAAGTGTTTCTCAGACGTATGTTCGATCAATTGGTTGACGGGAATCTGCAAAAGGCTTACACCTACGCGCAGTCTTCGAGTCTGGCCAGACATCGCCGTATACATACCAATGACAAGCCCTATATTTGCAGAAACCAGCGCTGCAAGAAAGCGTAAGCATGACCCGAAACCGGGCCTACCATACCGTTCTTGCTAACAACCAACGTAGTTTCTGCCGAAAAACCACCATGACAAAACACATCCGAAAAGAGCATCCCGCAGAACCCATCCATGAGGATCAGGATGCTGAGTATTCGGATGAGGACGCCTCAGAAGAAGAAGAGCTCGAAGAAGATACTGAGGAAGGCAAGGAAGATCCTCAGCTTCCTTATCAAGAGCCGGCGGAGCTCGATCAAAGGAATCAATCGGTTGGGGCACCGAGCCACTACAACAGAAGTCTTTGGCGTCTGCCGGGAGAAACGGTCCAACGCCCAAGTCCTCTCCGGCTACAAAGGCCAATTCCTCGCTCGGAAGCCCCAATCATCCATGAGATCAAGCTTGAGCGCTCCTGCTCTTCCACTCCTCAAAGATCCTTGACCGACCCCTATCCCACCGGACCAATGCATTCTTCCGAGTACTCACCCGTCAGAGCGGACACAATGCCTGACGGCTTACCCCAAGCGCCCGCAAGCGCTGGTGTGCCTCCCCAGTATCAGCTGGGAAATAACAGCAACATGGGCATTTGGAGTCCACAGTCGCTGCAGGACAGTCCTACTAGTCTAACGCATTCATCTCCGAGCTCCGCCAGTACTCAGTCCCATTCGCTGTTCGCATCGCAGTCCTATCAGCAGTTTCAGCAAGTTAGCATACCTGAGCCAATGTCGTATCCGGACCATCAAGAAACCGTTCAGAACTTAGAACAGTTGAAACTCGGGCAGTCCCAGCTGCACCAATACGGGGCCCTTCAACAGAACGTTTCTCAGCAAGACGCATACACTGGCATGTCTCGAGAAGCTTCTCAAAACCATGCATACAATGGTACACAAGCTCAAAGCGTCGCTCAGCACTATCAGAGTGACATGCCACCAACACCAGCACCGACTCAATCGATGCCCCAGTACACGGCGCCCATACAAGAGGTGCCTTATCAAGCACCTCAATTCCTCCCTCCAGACAATTACCCTATCGGCAACCAATACTTTTCACCCCACATCAACGGCCTGTACCAATACAATGACGGGATGGACTGGTGGAAAGAAGAGGTCAAGCCAGAAGATTATTGGACGCTCATGCCAAGTCAACGAATGCAGGGCAACGACTGGCCTTCATGATTGCGTGACCTTTGATCTCATCGACCACTCCTCCCTCTGGTCACGCTTATACCAACAGCCTCTGACTCGAACGATGCCAATACCGCCGCATTGTGCGTAGCGAGCCATACCTATTCCATTCTCAGCAACGCTTCGAGTACTACTTCTTCTTCTTCTTCCTTACATTTCTGAACTTACGATCTAACGACAGCCGGCCGATACGACACTGCCTTGACCTCTGCTCAATAAAAGTTCGCAAGATATCCCACATCGGTTTTTGGTCTACACATTTTTCCTTTACTTTTACTTGGAACGAACCTCCTAGTCACGGGCATTATCTTGGCGTCACATCTTCTATCTATCTACTCAATCTCATCGACCGCGATTACAGCATTCACGGGCGCTGGGCGTTACCAGCAAAGGGGAAAAAGCCGTTGGGTATCATCGAAAGTCGGGCCCCGGGCTGACCTGATGTTCATTTGTTAAGCAAACCTGTCTGCCTCTCGATGGCCAATCAGTAGTCTAGATACATATGTTTAGCAGGTAGGCTCCCTGCTGGCTTGCATATAGTTTTAGCGAAAGCATGATACCAAACAATGAATTACTACTGTTCCATACACTTCTAATCCACCATCGCCAGCACCACGTTTTCCTACATTGATATGACAACACACGTGCGCGCAAAGACGAACGAAAGCGCATCTACTCTACCCTTAAGATCACCTACATCATTCGACCCCCCAGGCTGTCACTCGACCGCACGCACCTAGCATAAGTACCGTCCAATCCGTCCGCCTCAAAAAGCATGTGCGAACGCCTTGACCCGACCCTGCAGCTAAATCTAGTCGAACTGTAATCTCGAGACGAGAAAACCAAACTCGGCGTGCGTGCATCTTTCACCTCCCCGGCTAGCCCCCCTTACCCTATGGTACGTCGGTGGGGCCCACGTTTTTGACGCACAGGCCTTTTGTTTGTCTGTCTACTGATGTAGGTATGTACTTATCTACTGACGAGAAAAAAGAAAGGAAAAAAAAAAGAAAAGAAAAGAATGAAAAGAATGAAAAAGAATGAAGAAAAGAAAAGAAAAGAAAAGAAAAACAAGAAAGAAAAAGAAAAGAAAAGAAACGTGCAACGAATGGGTTCGAGGACGGACCGGGCGGGCGGCTTGGAAAGGCGAGGCGAGGCAAGGCAAGGCAGGCATATCTGAGCCACACGGTTGGGGATCTGAGCGGGGCTGGCCTCGTGGAGGGGAAGGGTTTAATATATCGGGCCGATGGGGCGAGTGGTGGTTTGGCGCGAGGTGGAGGGGGGGAGGATTGGAGGGATGGCTGGAGGGATTGGGGGTGGGGGGTGTTGTGGATGGGGAGACTGGGGTGGGTTGTGGATGGGGAAACTGGGGTGGGTTGTTTGATTGGTTGTTTGTTTGGTGTGGGGTGGGGTTTGGTTGAGAAGGAGTGGAGTGGAGTGGATGGGGCTGTAGATGGGGATGCGAAGGGGGAAGAACAGTTATTGGTCAACACTTCCAGGTCGTAAAAAGCATGAAAACAGGGGTGATGTTCGGTCTATTCAGGTCCTGCTGATTTATAAAAAGTGCAATGGCTCTTCGACGACGGTTGTGTGAGTCTGCTGAAGCCCGAGGCTTGCCGGACTAACGCCGGATGTGAAAGATGTTGCTTGGGGGCCGGGGCCGAAGATGCGGTGACGATGGTTCGGGTGAGATGCTAGAGGCTTAGAAGTTTAAGATCTAGATAGGTTGGCACAGCTTAGGGGAACGAGCTGTCTTGAAGGATGCTAATACTGTAGCTCTTGGAGCTGGCATTGCTAACGCTACTTTCCACGTCATCCCTCTAGAATCTCTCGGTGTTTTGCATAGGAAGCTCAATCTTGCACCCTCCATGTTTTCAAGATGCTTGATGACGACTGACGCGTGACTCTGAGCGTACCTGCTCATCTGAGAGCGCCATAATGTGATGTAGGGTGTAGAAACAAAAGCACAGGGAGGTGGGTAGACTGTGAGCTGCTTGAGACCGGTAAGCACAGAAAGGTATTGATTCAAGGGGCAAGCGAGCGTGTCGAAATAGGCGACAGTGATGTTGCTAGCATTTTGAGGTCCAATAGCTGCCGTGAAATTTTCGAGCGTTGATTCCGCTGAAATGCAATACCATGAGTTTGGGAAGTAAAAGCTATTCTCGCTGTAGTAGATTGGAGTCACCTCTAGATAGAGCTGCCGGGAGGTGAAAGCGAGTGCAAGTGGCGTCGAATTGGTCCTTCGCTCATCGTCTTCCCGATGCCGCTGGAGTTCTCTGCCAGATCGCAAGCAGCTCGGTACTAGACCCTGGATGGATTCCTGACGCCCATGTGGCCGGACAGTGACATTTTCGTCCTTGACAACAGCATATCTCCAGATGTGGTTGCGAATTTCTGGAGGCAGGCTGAGAATTGGAAATGGCTTCTGGGCAGTCACAACGGACTTTTTAATCCTTGCCATGGCTGATGAATGAATGCTTTGCGAAGATTTGTTCCAATCGTCGAAGAAGCTGTATGAGTGTTGTAGGCTATTTAGGGGACGCGAGGACCAGCAAATGTCTAGAACTGCCCTAGAGAGTGTTGTCCAACTAAGACAGCAACGCAGAGTGGTGAATGTGCACCTCCTGATCTTATCTTTTATCGGATGGAGATCGAATCAGTGCGTCCAGATGAGGTCAACTTGACTCAAAGACTAGCAGCAATAAGCACGAAATTGATGATCCGACGAGGTACGCAACGGCAGAATGATTGCAATTGGCTACCGCTGAGTTCTAGAACAACGGGATGGTTTCCTCGAAGATAGACAAACCCTGGGACGTGGCAAGTGAAGTTAACGCGCGGGGTGCGCTTTGAGATAACCACACGAAGTGAGGTGATACAATCCGTGTTGGCGGGTCCGATGGCTGTGATGAATCTTCGAAGTCTTGATTGGTCGATGATACGAGTGTGGGAGGTAGATAAGGTGAAGGTGTTTTGTGCGTAGTAGATGGGGCTAACCTCAAGGTAGGTTTGTCTGCAGGCAGAGGCGAGGGCGGGTGTTGACGGAATTCGTTGATAGAAGCCGCGAGGAAGAGGGTATTTCTTGAGTCTGACGGGCTGCTTGGTTGGTGATACGACGGTGAAAGTCCAAATAAGCTCTCGGATCTCCGGTGGAAGAGAGAGGAGTCGGCAGGGTGGAGTTATTACTTGAGGGTTGGCGGTAGAGTGTTGAAAGTCTTCCATGGCAAGGTTCAGGACAGCGGCTGTTGAGATTGCTCTCACTCGAGACTCGGTGCCTGCCATGAGACCTTAGATAGTCCTATACTTGTTTCAGAAGCCCTACAATGTTGGAGCTGTAAGCTAGGTGATGGTGATCAGAGCGAAAACATACGTGCTCATCAAAGCTCGAATCATCCCTGTGGCCAGCGAAAGAGCGAATATTGGCTGGTTGCACGCATAAGAAAGCGACACAAAGATACAAATGCTGTGGATAGCAAAAGTAGCAGCCATGCACGTAATAGCTAATGATCCTCCCATTGCCCATACCACAACTATTACTGCTCCCCTCAGCCGGTAAAACCTTCGACCACCATCATCGCCGTAGGTATACAATCTTCAGACCCGCAAGTATAGCAACTATCAACCGGCGAATCGCAACGCTATTCAGCTCTCATCACCCCTCTTCCCATGAGGTTTGTCGACGGCAGCAGCAAGCTCTTTGAGCGCCTCTTTTGTATCCTGGACCAATGTCTCCGCCTCCTGAATCTGTCAGCCTTTCATTTTGGAAGGAACTCTGCGCCCAAAGGTTACCATTTTAAATCTCTCCACCTGCTCTTGCGTCACTTTAGTCAACTCCCATCCTCCATTTCTCCCCACCTTCAGGGCACGCCGCCCCCTAACGATGTCGCAAATCAGATGAGTGAGCAGGGCGGTGCCGATAAACTGGGTCAAGAGCAGCCAAGGATGCTCCACTAAGCTCCAGAAGGCCTTGTCCTCATCCGCAAGTTTTGGCCTGTCCCCAACTCCGTCGCTAAGTTGTTGGGAGCAGGAAGTCTGCATCGCTGCAGTCGAGCCGTAGATTTCGCCTCTGGATCGCTCTGCGCAGATCTCCATAACCGTCGGACACAGGGTTTTTGAAGCGTTGACAAAAGCAGGTAGTTCAGGAGCGCCGGGGCTGCTATAGTGGCCCAAGAAGAAGTAGACCATCGCGATAATCACCAGACAGAGGAAGAGGAAGATGCAGAGAAAGAGGTCCCAAAGATAATGTTTGAGTTTAAGCATCTTGAAAGACAGAGGCTATCGGAGTCGGGTCTATTTGTCGCGACGTATTTCGACTCGTATGTTTTGCTTGGATTATGTGCCTGGATTCTGTGCCTGGGTCAGGATGGGCAACCCTGCTTGGATAGGGTAGCTGTCCAGCTTACTTTATACGTACTTCAGTAGCATAAGTTTGGCCAGGAATGTGTCTGTTGCTGTGACTTGATTTTGCTGAATTCGGATTGTGAGACGAGATGGCAAGAACAGAAAGAAAAGTAAAAGTACGGAAGCCGCAGGCATTGCAACAAGAGAGATATCAGGAAAGATCGCTCTGGCTTGGCATTACTCCATAGCTATAACTCTACCACCACTACCATACGCACGTAACACTTCTACAACAAGGGCAAGGAAGACTTGAAATCTCAACTTCGATCAGGCGCTGAATCGTGATGAATCACAACGCCTGCTGTTCTGGACAACAGCCTAGTGAACATAAGATTCTTATAGTCAGTTGTCAGGATAGGATATTTGGGCTAAGTTGATTCATATCCTCCTTCATCAGAAAGTTCTTCACGTTCTATACCCGTCATCCATCATTGCCGGGATGCAGACCTAGGGTCTCGTAATAGCATCGTGGGCTATTCAAAAATCTCCTTTCAGTTTCAGGTTCCTTTCCGATTTCATAGTGTATGGCACCGATTTACCCAGCGCATAGAAACTGGATAGTGTTCACTATTCTGCAGAAAGTGAGAGCGCATGATTGGGGAAGTTGTGCAAGTTGCGAGGCAAAAGAGCGAATTCCGGATTAAAGATCGACCGAGGGCACTAACCATAATGGGACGGGCAAATCCGCAAAAGAAGTTTCTCGACAACATCATCGCCGGGGTCAACCATGTCTTGCCACCGTCGGCCATGATGAACGCTCCTTTATTAATTCGATTTCATTGATACGAATCTTTCATCTCTAGCTCATCAACACCACACCACCATCATGGCGTTCCAGCACCCAGTAGCGGTATGTACACGCCACCGGTGTCTTGATGGGTTTCTCTAACAAATGCCTTGGGTAGAACATGGCTTCTATAACTTCAGAGCTATGGCCATCTGTGAAATCTTCTTTGAAAGTCCCTTGGAGACATCTATGGCAACACCCGCCACAGGCGGTTGCGTCCACGTTTCGGAGTGTTGCAGGACAGCGGTCGATATCGACCGAGTCGTCCAAGGCGGAGAGCAATGTCAGTCCCAGATACTGGCGCATTTTTGGTATTATACTGACTTTGGCAGATCCCTCCAGCGCCGGAGCTGCCAGACTGCTTAGCAATAGCGCCCATGGCCACTCTCAGACCTCTGTGCCCCAGAAGCATCATGCCCGGCCGTCAGCTATTGACCATGGGAACCATCCGTACGTCACACCGCCTGGCCTCTTAACTTACACCTCCGCTCACCCATACAGCTTCCTCTAAGATCCTTCAATGTGCAAATCCATTCTTCGTGGGAACGCACTCCATGTCACGGAATACGCGGCCCTACTCAACGTTACCACCCTTTCAATTCATACGCGGTTACAGACCAATAAAATCTAGCTTGCCTAGTGTCTCCCAACGACGGACTCTATTTGCCGGGAGCTCTTCCCAAAATTTACTTGCGCATATGGAACACACGGCCAACAACAACCCTACAAGCCCAACAGCCCAGAATGCTTTCTATGCAGCACTACTACGTGCTGATATGCCCGCAATTCTGGTGGAGCGATACCAGACTGGACGGTATGCATCCAACACTGCCTGCGACGCTACGTACCACCGAGCACTCGAAATGCTTGCCCGGACAGAGGGGACTTCGGCTTTAGGAGGCGGAACACCAACACATGGGCGCAACAACGCGTCCAACGAACAGCTGCAGGCTATTGGCCAGGCTGTTGCAGCACGATCAAGAGGCGGAGATGTTGCTGGCCCCAAGGTGGTCAGCTCTGGCACCGGTAACAAAGCTAGTCCGTTGTACGTCGTCGTCGATGAATCGATAGGCTCAGTTATCTTCAAATGGGTCAAGTTCACCTCCTACTTCGTCCTAGTTGGCTACGTTTGCGCGGTTGTCCTTCAGCTGGCTATCGATACTTCTGGGGTCCTGAGGAAAGTTGGAGGTGGCGCAGTCAATGAAGCTCTGCCCCAGCAACAGACTGTCCGCTTCTCCGATGTTCACGGATGTGACGAGGCCAAGGAAGACCTTGAGGAACTTGTTGAATTTTTGAAGAACCCTGAGAAATTTTCGACACTTGGTGGAAAGCTGCCCAAAGGTGTCTTACTTGTTGGGCCGCCCGGTACTGGAAAGACACTACTAGCTCGTGCCGTGGCTGGAGAAGCTGGAGTGCCCTTCTTCTTCATGTCTGGTGCCGAGTTTGACGAAATCTATGTCGGTGTTGGTGCCAAGCGTATTCGTGAATTGTTCGCCAATGCTCGAGCCAAGGCCCCAGCAATCATTTTCATTGATGAGTTGGATGCTGTGGGGGGCAAACGCAATGAAAGAGATCCATCATATGCCAAACAATCCCTCAACCAGCTCCTCACCGAACTCGATGGCTTCTCACAAGATACTGGTGTCATCATACTCGCCGCGACGAACTTCCCGCAATTGCTCGACAAAGCTCTCACTCGCCCCGGACGATTTGACCGCAATATCATTGTCCCTCTGCCTGACGTCCGTGGCCGTATGGGAATCCTCAAGCACCACATGAAGAATGTTCAAGTAGCTACCGAAGTTGACGAGTCAATCATCGCACGAGGCACCCCCGGCTTCTCTGGCGCAGAGCTCGAGAACCTCGTCAACCAAGCCGCTGTCCGGGCAGCCCGCAACAAATCTACAAATGTCAGCATGTTGGACTTCGACTGGGCCAAAGACAAGATCCTGATGGGAGCTGAGCGGCGGAGCGCCGTCATCCAAGAGAAGGACAAAATAATGACCGCTTATCACGAGGCTGGGCATGCGCTAGTCTGCTTGTTCACCAAAGGAGCGGCACCACTCTACAAAGTCACCATCATGCCTCGGGGCCAAAGTCTAGGCACAACGCACTTCATGGACGATATGGACAAAGTCTCAAAGGTCAGGACGGAATACTTTGCCGAAATCGATACGGCCATGGGCGGAAAGGTCGCTGAGCAGCTAATCTACGGAGACGATAATGTCACAAGCGGTTGCTCAGCGGTACAGACCCCTTCCTCTTCTCGCGTG